TATCTATACTATTTTTGCAATTTCCTGTGAATATTTTATTACCTCAAAACAAAAAGTTAAAGTAGTTTCTAAAATCTGAAGGGAAGGGAAAACAGCGCTCTGTAAATAACAAGGATCTAGCCACTCTCTTTACTAATCTTAGAGCTTTTTCAAGTACGAAGCACGATAAAACAACAACAGTCTTAACAGGGCCTCATATCAGCCAGACACTGTTTTCAATGCTTCCCACATACTGCCCCATTTAAAGCTGGACCTAAGGAGAGAAACACCTCAATCCTATTCTACAAACAGGAATGTGAAGCAGAGGGAGGTTGAAGCAGTTTGTCAATGGTCACACAGTAAGCGGTAGAGCCAAGACTTAAACTCATGTGGACTCCAGAGGCCTGCCTCCGGCACCCCACGGTAGTAAGTATAAAGATGCTCAGCAAAAAAATAAAAGGTATGCAAAGTGTGTGTAAAAGCCTGGATTAAACAAGGTTAAACCAGGTTTTTTTCTGTAGGGTTCTCAGAACGTTTAAAATGCCAGTGCGTGCCATGTACCCACGAGGCTATGGTATTCGGTTTTCCCCCAGAAAGCATAATCCAGCACTCTCTCCTTCAAAAATTAAAACGTTCAAACTAGACTCATTGTGATCATTTCAAAATAGATACAAATATTGAATCACCATGTTGTACACCTGAAACTAATATAATGTTATATGTCCATTACACCTCAATTTTTAAAATAAGTTTAAATGACCTGATCTTAACCCACTTGTAGTAATGGCAAACTACAGATGCTTTGGGCTACACCGTCCAATGTGGTAGCCACTAGCCAAAAGGAACTATTCAATCATAATTTAATGAGAATGAAATTAAATAACAAATTCAGTTCCTCAGTCATACCAGCCACATTTCCCGTCTTCAAGACTTGTTTCAAGGGCCACACGTGACTAACGGCTACCGCCCTGGACAGGACAGACAGACAGAACACTTCCATCACTGGAGAAAGTTCTGTGGGCAGCACTGGGTTAAAGGGGTTTTTTTAATTTGTTTTAGGGGGGAAAAAACCCATGAGGCCTGTACAATGTCCAGAGGAGCACATTAGGAATCATTATACATGAAATTGCCACTCCCCCCACAGAAGGGGGCTACATCAGAAATTCCTGATGGGACAGGCTACTGCCACCCCAATGCCCAAATAAAGGGAAGCAAAGGAGTGGGGAAAATGAAGAGCAGAGAGAAAAAGCAACACTGCACAGGTGGGGCATGAAACTGGAACTGGGATTCAGGAGATCTGGGTTCTAAGCCCTATTAGGTGCTTGAATCATTTAAAATTTTTTGAAATATTTGTACTTGGAATTACTTTGGGCCCTACTTTCCTTTTACTACACAGACTGGAATTGGGTGATCTCTAACGTTACCTCTAGCTCTGAATGGTTAAAACATAAACACACACGTAAAATGAGGAGGTAAGAACTAAAGGTGAAAACAAGAGAGAGCAAGATCATTGCACACTGACGGCAGAAACTGGCACTCTGGGCAGCCTGGCACAAGTCTGGATACCACGAAGGTGGTATCCTGAGAATGTGAATACCTGAAGGTTTGGATACCACGAAAGGGAGAAAGACTTGCCCGAATTCAATAAATGCTACTGGGCAATTATTTGCAATAAACTGCAACATTTGGAAGTAGCACCCCCCCCAAAAAATAAATAAATAAATAAAATAAATTACCAGCCTCAGACTTAATCTAAGACCAAATATGAGAAGGAATCCAAGACTCAAAAAACTTTGGATTGAAAGGCTGATTCATTAACATGTCTGGCCCAGTAATAAGAAACACAGTAGTACCTTGAAATCTGCTTGAGGAGATACAACTAACATTACATAAAAGCATATACAAAACACAAACGCACGACATAATACAAATTCATGCAGCACCCTCCCCCTCTTCCACAGAGAATATAAACAAGTGCTACAGGTACTTGCAAACAGAAAGACACCGATTTTGGCCACCTTAATTTCCCTAGCATCCACAATTAGATAGTCCTACATTTTCTGAGTTAAATAGTCTTGACTTTAGCTGAGGTTATTGGAATTAAATCCTAATTTGTTGTGACGACTAAATAAAATGCAACTGGAATTCTCGCCTCTACTATCTACTAATTAACGCACGCTTCCCACTTTTTAGGGGCCTGGTTGCCCTATTTCCTAGGATCAAAGGGAAGAAAAAAACTTTCCGCATCCCTTTCCTGAGAATTAAGACCTAATATGAAAGTTAAAAGTTATTTTTACCTCCAAATTAAAAAGAACGAAGACAAACTGCGTTTGACGTTTTACCTTACAGAAACTAAGGCAATCAGTGAGTCGAGAAACCTCGCTAAGAATCCAAACTTATTAGAGCCCTAAACCATACCGGGGAAGATTTTGGAGCAGAGAAGAGTAAATATTAAAGCAACCATCAAGGAAAACAGGAAGGAAGGGTTTTAGCTAGAAGCCTTTACTTTAGAAAGGCAGTTTGTAATACCCCACCTACAAATCCCACGCCAAGCACCGCACCGCGCGAAAACCCTGCGGAATTTGAACACAAACGTTGGTAAAAGCTCTAGGAGGAGCGGGTGGGGCCTGGTAAGGGGCTTAGAAACTGACAGCTCGGCCCGGGAGCGAGAAGCCTCAAGTAGGTCAGACTGTGTCAGCGGTTTGAAATCCCGAGTCCACCTCAGCGGGCTTAGGGGAGCAGAGCAGCAGGAGCTAGGCAGGGGTTTGGCGTCTTGCAGTGCTAAAGGGGCGGGATATCTGTACTCAGACCCAGAGCCCAAGCTCGGGGCAGTTCGCCTGCTCTCACCTCTCTTGGGGGCCTTGATCAGAGGCACCCCTCCAGTCCTGTCGCCGTTTTCCTGCTTGTCCTTGTGCTTTAGATCGCCCGGAACGCAGGCGCTGGGGTCACCGTCGGAACCGCGGTGGTGGTGGTGTTTGTGCCGCTCCTTGTGGCCCTTATGCTTGGGCCCAGCCGCGCTCACCGTCAGGGGCGAGAAGGTGAAGAGGGCCGAGGTGCCTGGGGCTGGAAGCGGGGCAGCGACAGCGGGCCCGGCGGAGGCCAGCGAAGGTGGCGGCGGAGGCGGCAGGAGCAGAGGTTTAACGGGGCCTGGGATGGTAGGGGCTGCAGTCGTTGGCGGCAGCGGCCCGGGATGTTGGCGGCTGCGACGTCGCCGGTGAGGGGGAGCGAGAGGGGGATCCTGGCTCGGCCGCCCCCGCTTCTCTTGAGACCCCCCACTGCTCACTCGGCGCTGTCGCTTCACTCCCCGCGGCGAGACCCCGGCGTGGGGCTTCTCCTTCCCCTCTTTGTCCGGTTCCTCCTGCGCCGCCACCGCCCGTACTACGCGCACCGCTCCGACCTGCGCAGCCATTTCACCCACAAACACACATTTAAATGGCCCGACCGCCCCCCCGTCCGCGTATCGCGCAAGCGCCTTCCGCGCACGGTCCGCTGGGCATTGAAGTCTCTCCGCCACCCTCCACTTCTCGGCGGCTCTGGATCCTGAGCTGGACATGCCGGAAGTGGCCGTTCCCAGCGCTTCTCCGCGGGCCTCACCGCCGGAGCTCTATTGTAAAGCACTCTGGTCCGCGCAGGGCCTCATGGGAGCTGTAGTTCCCCCAGACCTCCGCCGCCACTCCGGCTCCCGAGGCGGAGGAGCGGAAAGAGAGCGTGCGCGGAGTCACGCTTCGGACTGCGACGCAACCGCCCCTGGGCGGAGAGTTACCGCCAACCGCCTTAACGGCCCTAACAATGTTAATGGCTTTCAGAGTCTGGCGGCGCGTTCCCATTATCATCTTGTGTCCCTCCGTCATTTTACGCGGAGTAGGTGGTCTCCATAGTTACTTTTAAATTTCGTATTCCGCTTTTAACCTTTGTGAGGTAAAAGAATCTCCGGCCTTTTATCCTTGAACCAGTGATGAGGCCGAGAGGAAAGGGGGGACTTAGTAATATGTAAAATGAGAGAGGCTTTGCTTTAAAATCGAATGGGGCTGCAATTCAGAAACGTTTTGACCCTTCTGGCGGCCGTTGCCATGGTTACAGCTCCACGGCTAGCAAGGCAGGTGCAAGAACCTTCTGGGAGCCTGGGGAGCGCCGCCCCACCTTGCCATCCAGTGCCTGGGAAGGTGGAGTCTAGCATTATTTTGAACACATGCCTACAGTTAGGGAAAAATTCTGGATGGGGAAACGTATTCTAATTTTTTTAGACGTTTGTCGAATCGTAAGTACTGCTTACGGGTGCTTAATTGGAGAAGTGTGCCTACCAGAGGACACGCCCCAAATCGTCACTGTTCACCAACGCTTCCGTTCAGAAATTTAGTGACAATTTCATCGTCACTTTAGGTTTTACCTAAGACTCTTTTAATATATGTTGGTCCTCGATAAAGCTATTTGGAGATGATTGATTACGATGAGGCACACAGATAAAATTACTGTGGTTTGATACCAGTCGTGTTTGGAGACGTATTCAGCTAATTGAACACGACAGTAATGTTAGTTTAAAACCAAGTTTATTGAGCACCTGTTGTGTGCTACAATAAACAGGTGTAATATTACATCCAATTTACGCCTTAATTTGGCTTCCCAATGAAAAATACTGGAAAACGAATGCTCTTTAAGTATTTCATGCATCTGAAAATTGGACTTTGAAATTAAAAATTAGCCACATCATTTTGGAGAATCCTTTGTAATAATTACCCACTAACTTATTTTGTTACATAAAATTATATTGGAAAGATGAGATATTCCTAAAATGTCAAATCCATATTCATACAGAAAAAAGTTAAACTAATAGTGCCTCTGATGGGTTGGATATAAATTGTACATGTTTATACAGAACTTTTTAAATGAATAAAATGCTACCAAAAGATAACTAATTTGTTGATTATTCTTCTAGATTTGGTCATTGAATAACCGATTAAAATGTATCAGGAATGTCACTGAACATCTTGTTAGTTTATAAATACAAATAAAAGTGATCACAGTCATTATTTACATTATTTTATTCTCTTAAATATAACTTCTTTTCCTACAACTCCGATTTCCCAAAACATTTGGGAAGATGTACAAGGTAAACTCCATTTAGGCAAAAATAACTCCCAGGGAATTGTCACCAGCAGTAGTTTTTTACTGCAACCACAAGATGAGATTTTAAAAAAACTTTTACAGGAAATTCTGGCAATGTAGACATGTAACTGAGATCCAATTCTTACAAATCTTTTAAAGTTTACATTTACGTAGAAGTCAACTAAAAAGAACTTCCAACGGTGAAAAGTCCATATCCAAACTGTTTCTCCTGCAGCATTCAAGCTGCAGTTTCCAACTTTATCATAAGCTCCAATGCTAAACTCTTTTTCTGCCGTTTCCAACCCGATATATAAATAAGAGTAAATGTAGAACCTTCGCACTTATTTGTGTATTGCTTTTCTTTTCAGAGTGGTTACCGCATTACCCTGTCTGCTCTGTTGACATTATGAACGTAGAGTACTGATTGTAGCTAGCTATATTCTGGTCATATTTCTTTGCGTGTGCACTTGCAGACTATAGTCCAAAGTTGTGTTAAATGTTCCAACTTGGTGGTGGGTTCCTTGGTCCTTTGGGCTTTGAAAAACGATTTGCAAAACCTGAGAACAAAAATAAAGGTGAAAAGGAGGATGGGATTAGGGTGCACAAATTGACAGTACTAAAAACAGTCTGGGGGGGAATGTGGAGTACAGAATAGGGAATAGAGTCAATGATATTATAATAACTATGTGTGATGTCAGATGGATATTAGACTTCTAAGGGGTGATCACTTCATAAGTTATATAAATGTCTAGTCACTATGTTGTACACCTGAAACTCATATAATATTGTATATCAATTGTTACTAAAAAAACAAAATTTTAAAATAAAATTGAAAAAAGATTTTTATACAGAAATAAATATATGGATTATAGAGTATATTACTATATATGCAAATACATGGATACTTTTTCAAAAGGTTAGGCAGCATCTTTGATCAATTTAGTAATGGTATTATTACTATTACAAGTAGCAGTAGTAATTAATGCTTAACCAATAACAATAAATACTAATATTTTCAATTTGTAGAACACTTATAAATTTAATAATGGTAATGATTAGATAAAGAAACCTGCTATAATAGCCTTTGGTAATTCAATATATATTCTTTTGTTTCAGTCTTGTTGAGATATTATTAATATATAACATACAGGGTGTGGCAAAAGTAGGTTTCCAGTTGTGAGTACATGAAAGAGTTTATTCTTCTATCTATTAACTACTGTATGATTTTCCATACAAATTTTATGGAGCCATTTTCCATATGAATTGCTGTTGCCCCACCCTGTATGTACGTTTAAGGTGTGCAGCATGGTGATTTGAAACACGTGTGTTGCAAAATGATTACCACATTAAGATTACTTAACACCTCCATCCTCTGGCATACATTTTCTGTGCTAATTTCATTTAAGGTTTACTCTCTCCACAACTTTTAAGTACATAATGCAGCGCTGGCCGGTGTTGGTTGGAGCGTCGTCCTGGAACTGAAAGGTCGCTGGTGTGAACCCCAGTCAGGGCGCATGACTAGGCCGTGGGTTCGGGCCCTGACTGGGGCCCGTAGGAGAGGCGACCATCAGTGTTTCTCTCTCACATCACTGTTTCTCTCTAAGAAGAGAGAGACTTTAAACCCCCTCTCTCCCTCCTTTCCCCTCTCTAAGCATGTCTTTGGGTGAGGATTTTGTTTTAAAGTATATAATACAGTACTGTTACCATTGTAGTTGCCATTGCTATACATAAGATCCCCAGAACTTACTCATCTTACAGCCGGAAGTGGGTGCCCTCTGACCAGCACCTCCCCATGCCCCCCACCCCCACCCCCACCCCTCGGCAATCACCATTCTACTCTGTATTTCTGTGGTTCGGGTTGTTTAGGTGCCACATGTTAAGTGAGGACATGTAGAATTGTCTTTCTCTGACTTACTTCACTTAGCATGATGCCTTCGAGGTCCATCCATGCTATTGCAGAAGGCGAGATTTCCTATTTTTTAATGGATAAATAATATTCATATACATAACTTTTCTTTACCCATTCATCTGCCAATGGACACTCAGGTTTTTTATGTGTTGGCTATTGCAAATGACGCAGTGAACACAGGGCACAGGCCAGGTGTCTCTTTTGAGACAATGATTTCACTTCCTTTGGGTGTATACCTGCAAGTGGAATTTCTGGGTCATCTGGTAGTTCTGTTTTTAAATGTTTGAGGAGCTTGCACGTTGTTTTCCATAGTGGCTGTAGCATTTAATTTACACTTGCATCCACAGCCTCACCAACACTCGTCTCTTGTTTGATGGTACCCATTCTAACAGGTGTGAGATGGTCTTTCACTGTGGTTTTGATTTGCGTTTCCCCATGATTAATAATGCTGAGCATCTTTTCATGCCTATTGGCCATTCACATATGTTTTTGGAGAAAAATGAAGTCTATTCAAGTTCTTTGCCTATTTTTTAATCTGATTTTTTTTTAATATTTTATTTATTTATTTTTAGAGAGAGGGGAAGGGAAGGAGAAAGAGTGGGAGAGAAACATCAATGTGTGGTTGCTCTCTTGAGTCCCCTGCTGGGAACTGGCCTGCAACCCAGGCATGTGCCCTGACTGGGAATCGAACCACGATACTCTGGTTTGCAGGCCCGCGCTCAATCCACTGAGCTACGCCAGCCAGGGCTAATCTGATTTTTTAAATAAAATCCTTTATCTACATCTTTCGCCCACCACCCACTCATCAGTAAAACAAAACTAGGAAATTTTGATTTCAGAAAAATAAGCACTATTGCTTTATAAAATTATTGTATTAAATGCACTTATACTTCTGCTTCAGCCCAGAAAGCTCTCAATTACTGAGAGACTATGTTTGAAAAGCTTAGAAAATAATAAAGTAATAAACACTCCTGGAGAACTAAGTATGTAGTTAATCATTTATGTCTTTCCCTTAAACATTCTTCCCCGCCCACCCCAAAGAAGGAGGATTTGCACAAGGAAGGCTTTTTCTGGGTTCTTTCAAAATATGAGACAAATAATGACATGGGTTCTTTTCGCTTTTCTCTGATGGAGGTATGTTTTCAAGGTACTCCTACACTTAACAACGTTAAGGGTTCAAATTGAGCAATGAAAGATTTGAAATACAAAAGGAAAACAGAGAATGGTAAGTTCAAAGACGTTCCTAAACCCTTAGTTTCATCATCTTGCAAAATTGTGGGTATAGCTTGCAGAATTCATGAAAGCATCAGGTGAGATATTTACTGAAGCAGCCAGGACAGGGCCTGGTCCATCATAGCCCAAGTATTGCTGACACCTAACCCACTACAAAACTGCCAGAACTGGAAGGAAAAGAGAGGAAGAAAGAGGAAAAGAAGATTTAAAAAAAAGAAACCCGGTAACATTAATGGTGATGCTAAAAAAAAAAATGGGGGAGAAGGTATACATCCTAGTTCACATACATTTCGCTCCTTTGAGTGGTAAAAAAAGAAAATGCATTTTAGACTAAATAGTTTCACACAATAGTCACAAAACCATTCATTCAGTCCACATAGCCTGGTTGTAACCCAAGCGGACTGAGAGAAGAAGAATGTGATATGCAAGTACTGAGTGTTTGACAGTTGAGGAATATGGGCATTCAGTCTTTTTCACCAATCAATTCTCAATAGTTTAGGACAGTGGAGAACTAACTTTTTTTTGTATGTAGACTTATTCCTGGGAAATCAAAATGTGTATAAATGACTCAATTTTTAAAATTCAAATACATTTTAAGTGAAATATCCTTACAATCTATATTACCTCCTTGTAAAAGAAAGCCAATGAGAAAGTTGTGCTGCTTTTCTTAGAGATAAAATGTTCGACTTTCAGAAGAAACAGCACAGAGGCAGCCCTCTAATATTTTATCCTCATGTTAGACAACCAAGTGTTGTCAGGTTAGAATGGCCATGAGTTATTCATGTGGGATCCCTAGTTCAGGGAAAAAGAAGGAAGCCGGGAACATCTGCATTCCAGGCAAAAGGCAGTGCTTTGTTCATAGTGTTCTGTACGAATGTTTCCAACTAAATGATTTCATGAGAATGACTTTTTCCCTCATCCTAACTTCTTCTTATCTAACTATAACATTATAAACCTTTGAGTTAATATAATCCAAATACAATTTTACAGCCCAAGAAATAAGGTGAGACAGGGACCCAGGAAGGGCAGAGATGACCAATTGCCCAGTGAAATCTTCCCTTGCTCCTGCTTCAGAAATAGAATTGGCAACGGTATTATGCTTCCCAGGGTCTCTTGCAGTTTAGACATAGCACATGTCTAAATTCTCAAGGGAACGTGAGCCGATGCAATGCTGCCACTTCCAGGGCAGTGCCTGAGGACCACCCCTCTTCCATGCTGCTCTCTCGTCTTGCCACCTGCCATCTGGATGTGGCAGCAGCCCAGTTTTGACCATAGCGATAAGGACAATACCACAGAGCAGCAGTTCTCGAGGGGGAGTCCCTAGACCCTTTCAGGGAGTCTGTTCTTTGGTTAATAATAATTTTTAGTAGTAATGTCCTACATTAATTGCTGCACTTATTAAAAAAATATATATATAGTATACATGATGCCACCTTAAAAATAAAATCATTTTAAGTTTATAGCTGATACTGAGGGGTGATTGGACAAACAGTTCCCTTAAACTATCAGAATTGTGCTTCAGCTCCAACTGTTTGATGAGTGATACAAGGTAGCAACAACTGCCAGGGCTTCTCAATCACAGTTATGTATCTTTTACAACTTTGCTTAGATATGAACTGGAATATTATGGCATCTCAGAATTTCATCTGGCTAGTCACATTCATTCACTACATGCCAACATAATCATTTGGTTACCTAGTTTATTTTCTGTGAATGCTAGGTAATTTTATGTAATAGAATATATAGCCCTATGTAAGATATTAAGCAGCAGCTGAAGTCAAAAATAAAAACATAAATTGCACAGAAAAGAATATGAATATAAGGACCTATACATGAAACCTCAAACCCTATTTAAAGTTGTCTCTCTTACACTATAAATGAATAATTTAGGTAAACTTTTTTTTAACTTTGCTGGATAAAACACACATACCAAAATTCCGTAAGAAGCTGGAGTTATTTGACTGAACAGACTCTGCAGGCTTGTTTGGTGGGGAAGAATTACAGAGATCTAAAACAAAAGGAAAAATGTAAGGGAAAGAAGGACAAACTGAGGTCACTGTATCAGACCACATAATTATTGAGACCAAACATTTCCTTCAAAGTAATAATGCTCTCACACAAACATATCACTATCAAATGTAACAAAATATACATGCTTACCAACAGAGTGACACATAATTTTCTCATTTTTGTGTGTATATATATTTAAAAAGTTTCTTTGCAAACAGGTCGTTTGTATAGTAAAACTCAACACTAAAGAGCATCCCCGAAGGACTGATGAATAAGGGCCATTACCCTGTGAAACAACTCTGGGAGGCACTTGCTTTGGAGTTCGCCTGACTGCATTCCTGCCGCTCACACACTTTTCAATCCTTTGTCCTCCACAGGAGGTCAATGCACAACAGAGTCCGTGATTTTTCTTACACTATTCTTTGCTCCTGGATTACCTTTCTTCACTTTCCATTAAAGATTCTTTTTCCCCATTACGGATGATTCTAGTTAGGCCCAGAATCTCCCCAAAGCATTATGTTTCTTTGTTTTGTTGTTTTAGCTACTTACGCTCAGGCTTAAAATATACACAGGGCTGGGCATAAGAAGGTTGACAGTTGTGAGTACACAAAACAGAGTTTATTCTTTTATTATTTATTAATCACATTGTTTATTTGTATTACAACTCTAACCCTACTTTTGCCCATCCCTGTATTCCTCTTTCCAGCACCTTAATAATTCATGTATCAGTTTCTGCCCAGTTTTAGAAACATGTTCTATATTTTGTGGGAGATTGTCTTGCAGTGAAAAAAAAGATAATTTCAGGTTTGTATGGACTTTCTAAGAAACAGCACATAATTGGGGAGAAGTTATTAAATAGCCATCTTTTGTTTTTCAACATCTCCAGAAATCAGTATTAGGCCTGCGTACTTTGATGCACACACACCTAACACTGGGATTCTGGAAACGCTGCCTCGATCCTAGCGGTACCTGAGCATGAATCACTACAGAGCATACTGAATTTCAATTAAAATATATTTATAGAATACCTTCTATGTGCCATGCATTGGGATAGGCACTGACAATAGAGACATGCCTAAGAAGTGGGTGTAGGTGAGAAAGTTCGAGAGAGATCAATCATCACATCTGTTGCATATGAGCTGAGAGTTACACACACTTCTCAGAAAGAAAACCATTGTTCCCAAAGAAAATACTGTTCTTTTTCTACAACAGGAGACAAAGATTCTGCATCTAAATCAGAGAGAACCGTTATTTTACATATTGGTTTGTCATAGATATTTTTATGCCACCTTCCCAGCATTAATTCCTTCTACCTCTGATAACAGAACTTGCATTTTCCTTTAGGAAATCCCCACTCCCCAGTTTTCAGCTCCCCACTTCTGGTGGAGCTGATTCTACCTTTAGGTGACCTGTGACTAGAACTGATTTTCCAGCAGGATTTTGCTGTGGTCACACTAGCTGTGGAAGTCTGACCTCATTCGTTATTGGTCAGTGTCCATGTATAACAGTTGTTAAATATGAGGTGTGACACCATCCTCCTTAATCAGAGCATTGAATACACTGGCAATAATTGGTTCAGGACCAGCTTCAACTACAAACCAGTAAGGGAGCCAGGCTAAGGGAGAGCACAGGGAGTCAGCAGTCACGGGCCATCTGGACGGGGAAGAGGACACACAGGCAAATACAGGCAGATGAGGCTAAAACTTCAGGATCAGTTCTGGAGGCAGATATTGTTCTTCAGTTAAGGAAACAAGATCAGAGGAGGAAGGCAGCTGAGAAGCAGAATTAGCCTCTGGCCGGATGATGACCTGGGAGCTCTCGCTCAGATACAAGACAGTCCTTAGAGCCCCATGTCCCCGTCTGTGCCAGCCCACATCTGCCTCGAGTTTCTGTGTCTTTATCTGAGAGCCCCAAGACAGCATTGGACTGGAGAAAGAAGGGTTTGGGTTTGGTTTTTAGAAAAAGAAACCTGGGTGTTTTCAGAGCTAAGCTGATCAATCTTTGGCTGACTCTTCCAGCCACTCATTTCTTTGCTTTTAATTGCTTAATGCTCATGTTTTATACTTTCCTCCTCTTGGAAGGTTTACATTCTCTTTTGGCTGGCTCTAGCCATCGTACTTTTCCGTCATACTTTAGCCATCGGCTGAGAAACCAGTTCATTTTGGAGATCAAGACTAGAACAATTTTATGGACAGAAAGACAGAGTGAAAACTCGGAAGAAAAGAGTAAGATTCAGCTATAACCCTTCTCATTCTAACAATACCTTACAGAAGTTTCCTCCGTGTTCCCTGTCCCTCCCTGTGACACCAAGCAGCTGTGTGGTCCTGGGTGATGAACCAAGTGGATCAAAGCTGTAAAAACTGTATCACCACGTTCTGTGTACTTCGTAGCTGTAAATAAGGTTTTCTAAGATAATAAGTTCCCACAGTTTCAGTAGTCCTTGGGTTCTGTTTTCATCACAGTTTAGCAAAATAGTAAGCAACAGACTCCCTATTGCTATTAATACTTGGTAAAAATAGAAATGTGTCAATACTTTATTTCATTAAACCAACGCATTTGTCTCACAATATGCTTTGCTGTGACTGTTTTCAAAGAAAAAACATTTGAAGTTAGACTGCTGGGAATTTTAAACAGTGCATTTGGATAACAGCATCTTAGGACGAGCAGAAAGTGCCAAACAGCTTCCCATTCTTCCAGTCACAGGAGCTCCCGGCCCCTTCCCCCTGCTCAGTGTTATCACTGTGGAGCCCCGCCCAGCACACGGTTGGGGAGCGGCCGGCCCAATGCGCCCAGCAAGCCTCTGCTGAGGAAGAATATTAACGTTTTCACCGAGTGGTTATGTAAGGAAGAATTAAATAATTATAAAAGCAGTGCATATGTTCTTAAAAAATAGGTGTAAAGATGCTTACTCTTTTTCACGTTCCGCAAAATTTTCAAACTCTACAGAAATGAAGAAAAGGAAAATGTTAATTTTTCTGTCTGAAATCCAAAATACTTTAATCAAGTAGAAATACAGACTTCAGTTAAAAGGATTAATTTCCTTTATTTTTAAAAAAATTTTTATTTACTTTGTATTTTTAGAGAGGGGGAGGAAGAGACGGAAAGAAACAGTGTGTAGTTGACTCTCGTACGCCCCCTACTGGCTTTTTACAGCATCTGCCCTGGCTGGGACTAGAACTGGCACTCAATCCACTGAGCCACACTAGCCAGGGCAGGATTCGTTTCCTTTAAAAATAGCCATTAAAATGCACAAAACTATTTTTCCATTTTGCCATTTGTAATTCAGTGCAAAGTCTCCACTTGATTTTATCCTGCTATTTTTCCCACCCATCTGAGAATCACACTATGACTTTAGAAATTCATCAGCCTATGAGGAAAAAACAGAGTTCGCCACTTCTCCTTTTTAGGACGATTCAAGAACTCACAATGGCTCCTGAAGACAGATGTGATCCATAGCCATTCCCATTCTAGCCAAGGATTTTTTTTTTTTAAGTTTAGAAGAGAAGGGGAAAAGACAGGAAGAGAAATATCAATGTATGGTTGCCTCTCATACGTCCCCCGCTGGGAACTGGCCTTCGGCCCAGGCATGTGCCCTGACTGGGAATCGAACCACAATCTTTTGGTTCACAGGCCCGTGCTCAATCCACTGAGCTACACAAGCCAGGGCACTAGCCAAGGATTTTTATCAACCATATTCTGCACTCAGTTTACTAAGGTCCTGTCCATAGCGTTAGCCATGCTCCCCCCTTCTCTTTCCTTACAGTAAACCCATGTCCTCTGTCCCCTTTAGAGTGGAACATCTAGCTTATCCCTCCCAGGAACCCACCCCGATTTCTCTTCTCCACATAACCTCAGCAGGTCCGTTTAATCGGTCCTGTGATACTCTGTTCTCCCTGACAGTTTCCATACTGTTTCTTACATAGGCATGCCGCTGCAATGGCTAACTGTGCTCTTTTCAAGGGCAGATGGATGCTCTTTATGACATTTCTGTTGTCCTAACACCTAACAGAAATGCAGTCTTCTATATACTAGATCTTTAATAAATTCTTTCTTCTTGAAATTTTTTTAGATTTTTAAAAGTAGATCATTTGTTTATAATTCAAAACCCTCTTAGTAAAAATACGACCAGGCTGGGGCGACGGGCACACAATGCACTGTGCAGGTGATGCCTTGTTAAGTTGTGTGCTGGACACCCGACAGCTTCGTGAACCAGCGTCACCCCAATACATTCAACTAAACATGGTTTTAATGCTACCATTCTTGTTTTCTGTCTACCCAGTTTCTAACCCTCCCCATACAGATACCTGTTGTAGCCTTCCGGAGTTATGTATAAATATGTAATACCAATATAGATTCTATTTTGTTCCTTTAAAGCAAAACTTAATAAATGTATATATAAATATAGTGAGAAAGCCCTCTCTTTTTAGCTGCATGGTGTTCTGTTGTCTGCACATACCATGATTTATTTAACCAGTTTTCCTAATGATTAATGTTTATGTGGTCCCCAATAGTCTGCTTTTACAAATAATACGACAGTAAAGAGGCAAACACAGTTTGTTTCATAATGTACCTCCATAGTTGCAGGATAAACTCCTGGGAGTGGATTAGAGGGCAGATGCATTTGATAGATGTCGCTCGATTGTCCTCCACAGAAATGACACCAACGTGACATCCCCACCACCCACGCAGGCGTGTGCCCGTGTCCCCACAGTCTGCCTCACAGAGAACGTAGTCGTGCTTTGGAACGTGCTGTTCTGATCAATGAAACACAGTACGTCACAGCTTTCTTAACTCGTACATCTCTTATTATGAGTGAGGGCGAACATGTCAAATGTTTAATGGGCAGACTGTGGATATTTATTTTTGTGTAAACTATCTGATCTATTTTTTTGCCCACTTTTCTACTAGGGTTATTATTTTCTATGAATTTCCAGGAATCTTTATACATTAAAGAAATAACTCCTTAGCTCTGATGCCAGAGGCAGATATTTTTCTCCAATTTATCCTCTGTCTTTTGATTTTTAAGGTGATTTTAGTTTCACCATGCAGAACTTGCCTATTTTATTTAGGAGAATGTACAAATCTCTCTTCTTGTGGTTCCTGGATTCTGAGTCATATATAGGTTGTTCCCACTCCCAGGTTGTAAAGGAATCTCTGCAAGTTTGGGGGTTTTTTAGTACTTTTTGGGTTGGTTTTGTTTGTTGCTTGTTTATTGTTTAAAAAAAAAAGATTTAAACATTTACCCTCCTAAACTACATCCTGGTACAGCTGTGAAGCATGGGTCCTAGCTTTTTCTTCAGGTGCATACTCCACTCATCCCAGCACTATTACCAAGACGCCCATCTTTAACCACATACTAAATTCCTGCACGCCTTCCAGTCTGTTTATGGACTTCCTGTCCTACTCTGTTGGTGTGTGATTTTTTCATACATCAATATCATACCATCTTAATTATTGGGGCTGTACAACATTTTCCCAGCTGGTAAAGCTACCCTCCTTCCACTGTTTTTACATTTATTTTCACTTTTCCCACTTTTCTGGCCATTCTTGCTCTTTTCATCCTCCCATATGAACTTTGGAATCCGTGTGCCTTGTTCCAGGAAAAAAAAAAAAAAGAGTTGATGGTTTTATTGGGCATGGTTTAGACTAAGCTGTATTTTTTGTTTGTTTGCTTGCTTCCTTCTGTTAATTTTGAAAGTCGAAAGACCAACCATTTCAGTGAAGCTGTATAATCTAATTTTTCATCTTAATGCTGGCAGCTGGCAGGAGTGGGAGACAAGGGGGGCACACTTTCAGGAACGAAAGGCTTCTGGCATGTTTCTGTAAACTCCCATCGTCGTTACCTTACTCCTTGTGAAACTTTTTCCAGGGGTCTTCAATGTCTGTTTTGAAGATGTTGAATTTTCAGCGGCGTTAGGACAGCTAGCAGAATAAATCTCCATGGGTTGAGCCTGCATACCTAAAAAAAAAAAAAAAATGTTTTGTTACATAGCTTCTTAAGCTTTCAGGTTTAATATAAATAGATATATATAGGTTTATATATAGGTTTCAGGTTTAATATATAGATATATATTCAGTAATCTTTGCTTGGAGTTTTTATGCTTTATTTTTACAATACATTATGGGATTTTTAAATGTATTATTCTTAACTTATTTAATCATTCCTTGTACCTTTCTCCTTTAGGTCCTGCTTTATCATTAACCTTCTAACAGCCTGGTTTTTAGAACTTTTTGGAGAGGAAGTGCTGCCACTTACAGTCTTCATCAGCAAGTAAGAAGGACTCCGGGGTTCTTTCTGGGAGTGGAGGTGGGGGCGATGAGCGGTCTTCTGGCAGGTCTGTGATGAGATTGCACAGCAAACAAAATCACCCATCACTTAAAAGTCTGCAGTCAAGACCCCTTTCGGGCTTTGCATGACTTTTCCGATTATTTCTTTCTTTATTTATTTTAATAGTATTTTTTCCCATTCCCATGTATCCCCTTTTACCCTTGTCCACCTCCACCCACACTCCTCCCCACCCTTTCCAATTTTTCATTATGAACCTACAACAGCCAAATAAAAAATTATCTGAACAATGACTGGAGCCTCAAGAATTTTGTTCTTCTAGCTCTCTAACCACTGAGATTCTGATTCATTACAAACTTGTAAGCTCATTTACAAAAGTGGTTTTCCAAAGAAACTGAACCGGAAGTTAATTCAGCTCCCAGTTCTCACTACCATTTTATAGAGCAGGCTGGGGAAAGAGGGATGTGACCAATGAAACCAGGGAGGCAAACAGCCAAATCCAGGATATTGGCACTCTTTACAAATGGCCCGCTCTCAGCAACAAATGGCATGACAAAATATGAAAAGGAAGGAGACCTGTTACAAATCGTAAAAGATGTACGAAACATATAAACCAAATACAATGTGTAGACTTTGTTTGAATCCAGGCTCAAATAAACCTATGGTGAAACGGCATCATTAAGACAATTTAAGAAAACTGAACATGGATTCAGTGAACTGAACTTTATCATGTTTATCGATAAACAGGAGAAGTTGCTGTATAGACAAATTTACTTCTGGGTGAAAGCAGAAGTCAAGTACGATACAGTATTTGTTCCCAGCACCCAACACAGTAACTGGCATACAGTAGGCATTTAATAAACATTTGATAATGACATTTGGTAGCTTATCACCTACTTTGCTATTAGGAAATACTCGGAAAACTTTCCATTAACAATATACTGCCAAATATCTTCCTAAAACGCCATTTTCCTCTGGATACTTCCCCAGGGAGGGGCCTTACAATGCTCACTGCCTGCTGCACTAAATCTAACTTCTGCCTGACTCGGTGCCTGACGAAACACAGGTGACAAACTGCTGTGACTGAGAGAGTACACTCACGGTGTCCTTCAGCCACCGTCGCTACCTAATTCAAAACGTTCCCATCACCTGGAAGGGAAACCGAGTCCACACTCCTCTAGCGATCTCTCCCCGTCCCCTCCAGAGCAGACTTGGCAACCTGCTCTGTGTATCATCATCTGCCTCGCTTTTCAGTCCTTCAGAATCTCCCCACATTTCACCTAGCCCCATTTATTGTCCATATTTCCCAGAGGAGAGCCTCTGTTGCTGTTAAATTCACCTGCGCACCACTTGTCATGCTTATTTCCGCCTTGGCGTCGCTGTGAGCCCACCCCCTGCCCCTGGCGTTCCTCCTCCATCTCTCTGTCCAGCCACCGCGTTGGGTTTCTCTCTTCCACCCAGGGAAGCCTTCCTTCCTTTCTACACCCCGGAGGATTATCAGCTCGGCCACACAGGTGGCCACTTTATCGTTCCAGATGACCATTGACTTTGCCCAATTTCAACATAAGCACTAAGCAGTGTCCTTTCTTTCTCTCTCTTTTTCTCAAGGAAAATTTTCAACTATACTGCAAAGTGGAGAAATTACTACAATGAACTTCCATAACCTCAGTTCCACACAATCTTCAAGATTTTTCCAGATTTGCTCAGTTGTACCCTTTTACCCTTTTTTCTTTGCTAAATTATTTTAAAGCAAATCTTCTGTGTTCTTCACAGTAAATCATTTTTTACAGTCACTATTATTTTATACTCATTCAGGTGAACAGCGTGGTGGTTAAACAAGCACATACTTTCCAAAGTGTTTCCCCCGATATGTCCAGCGCCCGCCTGGCACCACACATACTTATTAGGATATTATTGACTCTGTCCCCTGTGCTGTATTTCACATCCCTGTTAGTCACTATTCCATAACTAACAATTTGCACTTTTAATTCTGCTGCCTTTTCCACCCAGTCCCCAGTCCCCCTCCCCTCTGGTGACCGTCGGTCTGTTCTCTGTGTCTATGAGCCTGTTTCAATTTTGTCTGTTTATTTTGTTCTTTAGATTCCACATATAAGTGAAATCATCTGGTGTTTGTCCAAGCAGCACCCTTCCTTATACACCTTCCTAACATGATATAAGGCACACAGAGCTTGCCCAGAAAATGCTCACTTAATAATTATCTAATAAAAAGTATAGCAGGTAACATGTAATGAGCGCTTATCATTTGACAATCTCTGTATTAAAGTTTCGTGTGCTTCATCGCACTCAATCCTCGTGGAAATCCTCTAAAAAAAAAAAAGGAGTTCTGGTATCCTCATTTTATAAAAGGGAAAAATTGATAGAATATATAATTTAACCGAGATTATGCTTTTAAAAAAGATTTTTTAAATTTATTTTAGACAGAGGGGAAGGGAGGGAGAAAGAGAGGGAGAGACACATCAGTGTGTGGTTGCCTCTCATATGCCCCTAACTGGGGACCTAGCCAGCAACCCAGGCATGTGCTGTGACTGGGCATCAAACCAACAACCCACTGGTTCACGGGCCGATGCCCAATCCACTGAGCCACACCAGCCAGGGCCAAGGTTATGCTTTTTGACAACTCTCAATACTTTGGGGATTTGAATTAAAGTCTTTTTGACACACAAGCCCAGTTTTTAAACCTCTATGTTATACTGCCTATTTATTTAGGTATAATATGACTATGATAAGTGAATGATATGTTAATATGAATAAGTATGTTAAGAGCACCTACCACCCGTTATGGTGTATGGAAAGCACTATCAGTGCCCAATAAACATTAGTTGCTGCAGATGTTTTTCAATGTCTACGACAAGCAAAGCTCAGGGAAGCCCTGGAGAAACGACAGCAAATTAAGGATCTAAACGGCCACAAAGAATTTTTAGAATCACCTTGTGAACAATGATGAAACCAATAAAATGGAACTGCCGCAGAGGTGGAAGAGATACTACCTAAAATAGTTTTTTTAATGGGCTATATATTGAGGGGCCGAATCTTAAAATCCTGTCTTCACCCTGCCCTTGACAGAACTCCTACCCTGGGGAAACCAGAAATAAATTAAGGAACCGTGGAAGCTACTATGAGAACCCTGCCATCTCCTGAAGTGAACTACTCTAAGCTTAATGAGCCATTCCTACAGTACAAATAGTTAGGGTTGAAATATCATCTAAAGCCAAGAGAATTTTTTTACCTGAGTTGGAACACTGGAGTTTCACACTCTAAAAGCAAAAGAGAGAAAGAAAGGAAAAGTGAAACAACAATGTGTGCACAAATTTACAAACTCAAAGCAATACGTGGCATTTTTGAAATTATATTGCACATATCGGTAAGTGATAGAGATGAAATGTTGACCCTATTTTTTTGTGACTTATAAGTGTGCTGGATTATTAAAAAAAAAGCATCAACTCTTAAAGTAATTTTTGTACGGCATGACAGTCCTAAACTGACCCTGTTTTGACCCGCCTCCTTCCTAAGCAGAGCATCGCCCTGAAGTTTCCATGGGTGGTAAGTTGTTGAAATTGAACTTACTTCAGGGCACTGGAGGAGGAGGGACTGCCCTTCGCTCTAGGAGTTATTACGTGGAAGACCATTGTCTGTGGCATATCATCAACAGTAATGATGCCAAGTGCCAGTAACTGAAAAGTACAGTTAAAAAGGTAGAGAATATTTGCCTATCAGCACTGTAGTGGTAGGCAATGCCTACATGTTCCAGTTAATTACTTTTCTGATCTCCGAGGTTGGAAGACAGTTGGTTCATAGAATATATACAAGTTCATATCAGATGGTTCAAAGTGCAGGTGTTTCTTCCAGAAGCAGAGAACATTATTCCAAGAGGTTTAACTCAGATAATATGGACATCTGTCACTCAAAAAAATTACTCTCTATAAATACTTTATCATAGCTAACACGATACAGCCAAACAAGTGACTATTGCAAACAAGCTATTTACTTGTGAAACATTTCTTTTTGCTTTAACTATCCTTCAAGAATCAGCTCAGATGTTTCCACTTTGACTGTCTTCCTTGACCACTTCCCACCTGAAGGAACTCCCACACTTTCGAACGTTTTGTCTTTCATATGGCACTGGTCTTATTTGCCTTGTGATAATTCACAGACAAAAATACTTGTGTATACCTCCTATATCTCCACTGCTGGACTAAATTTCTTAAGGGCAACAATTGGCTCTTATTTATCTGCCATGTACCCTAGCATGTGGTTTCATAAGTACTATCTGGTTAATATTTACTGGTAATGAATAGGTGTTAGAAATACAAGGAGTAGGACTATAATCTGTTGGATCCAAATGAGTAGAGTCAGGAAGAAAAAGTTACTGACGTTGGTTGGCCTGAGTCTCACAGAGTCATTGGGTTTGTTGGACTCAGATGTTCCACTCCATCCTAGTGGGCTTCCCACTTCTGTCATCACAGTTGAAGGTGAAGGCTTGGGAACCCTCAGTGGGACTTCTCCTGGAAGAAAGTAAACATGGTCCGGTTCTTCGGAGAGCCCCTGTTACTCAGCACGCAGAACACTGGACGGACGTGGGAGGTTACCTAGTTAATCTTACTGGGATTACACTTCCTGAACTGTACTCACCAGCTTCCTCTTCCACAATAAAAGACTCGGGAGTCCGTTCTGGCAGTGGAGGGGGGACTTCATCATCGATTCTTGGGGAAGTCGCTATCCAAATGTCAGAAATATAATTACAATTTTTAGGCAGGAAAATCCAAAGAAAATTCTTACGCTCTAATCTTTGTGTAAATCCCATCAAGCATCATTACAATATTTAAGCTGGCATCTGTCCACTCAAGGGAAAAGCAAAATAAATTCTCTCATCTTAAGCTGCAAACCCAGGAGGTTTTTGCTTCTTCAAAATGTATTATTTCTTTTAAAAGCCCCAAAGTATTTTGATTGGGTCACTGATTATGAGTTAACATAATAAGGAATATTATATTAATTTAAATTACATAATCCTTGCCCTGTCTGGTGTGGCTCGGTGGGTTGGGCATCATCCCGCAAACCAAAACGTCACCGGTTAGATTTCCGGTCAGGGCACCTGCCTGGGCTGTCGACCCGGTTCCCAGTTGGAGGCAAACAAGAGGAAACAGATGGGTGTTTCTCTCACACATCAATGTTTCTCTCCCTCTCCTTTCTCCCTCCCTTCCCCTTTCTCTAAAAATAAAAATACAGTATCTTAAAAATGCAATTTTTAAAAAATTACATAATTCTTTTTTGTTTCACAAAATAGACACTATAGCATCATAAAAGCACTTTTACATATGCCAAAGATTCCAGTATAAGCTAGGTTAAATCATAAAGATTTAGTATTTATAATTCATTTTACAAAGTGAAGAATATGTATGTTTTTTTATAAAACAAGGTTGTAACAGGGTTTTCTTTTTTTCTTTTTTCCCCCCCAGCCAAACCGACCTCCCTCATTTGCTTCCACCCTCCCCCTTGGTTTGAGGGTTTTCTATATTTTCTATAGATATACTCGGAATTTTTATAGAAAACATTGAATGCCATTACAATAAACTGCCTCCAGAGGGCACACGTGTAAACTGCTCCAATCCCTGAAGATAAGGATTTATCTTTTAACACCGGTGCTCAGAGACCAGACCAGGAACAGAATACAGAAATGGAGATCACAGGGAGGGTTATCAGTGGAAAAGGGGAGGGGGGAATGGGGGAAAAGGTAGGGGAAAAATGGGGGGAAAAATGGTAGGTACAAAATAGACTGGGGGAGGTTAAGAATAGTATAGGAAATGGAGAACCCAAAGATCTTATATGTATGATCCATGGACATGAACTAAGGGGGGAGAAGGTTGGTGGGAGGGGCAGTGGGGGTAGAGGGGAATAAAATGAAGAAAAAAAATGGGACAGCTACAATAGCATACAAAAAAGTAAGAAAAAGAAAATTCCTTTAAATTACAAAACAAAATCAAAGTATATAAAATAACCTAATCAAAGAAGGAACTAGATCCAGATAAAATACTTTTGTAATAAAGTTACACATCTACACATCTATTAGGGCAGTGGCATCAAACTCATTTTCACCGGGGGCCACATCAGCCTCACGGTTGCCTTCAAAGGGCTGAAATACTTTTAGGACTGTATAAATGTAACTACTCCTTAACTGTTAAAGAATTGAAATCACATTCGGCCCTTTGAAGGCAACCCCAAGGCTGATGTGGCCCCCGGTGAAAATGAGTTGGACACCCCTGTATTAAGGGATTGTACAATGTTACAGAGTAAAAGCTCTTTCCACTTCTTATTCAGGTGAAATATTTTTTATAAATTTCTGATGATCTACCTAAGAGAGTTAAACTTACTCTTTGCTCTCCTTCTCTTCTTCCACATCATACTATTATAACTTTCTCTAACAAGATATTTACTCCTAATATCAAACAACTCAGTAAAACAATGTGTGTAATGGGCAAAAATCTAGAAGTATTAAGTATGAAGGTAAAGTGGTATGTGTGATGAAAACCCCACACAGAAGACAGAACACGTCATCACATCTACTAGGTTATCATAAAGAGGCAGGAGAAAATTCGCTGCTCTTCCTCCGGCCGCCTCCGCAAGAGAACACCGCCCTTGGTTAGCTGCTCAGCCCAGCGCAGCCGTGCTCGTGCAGCAAAAACTCCCAGTGACCACGTGGTGCCGTTGATCAAATCCTTCCTCCTGTTCTTTCGGAAGTTGCTTCTGGAGGTTAAGGGTCAGTTGTGGACCTCTGCCATACATTCCCAGGAATGAGAATCGCCTTTGTTAGAAGCGCCCCTGCTGGCGTAGATGCTGGGTCGTAGCTCATCCAGGTCATGGAATGTTACATGTTTGTTTCTGCTATTTTCAATGTATCATCACATCATTAAAGGAGAGGGAAGCACACAGAGAAGGACCAGGGGGAGGATGAAAAGAAACCAAATCTTCTGGAGAATCAGAGTAACATCTAAAAGGCTATACGAACTTGTAAAAATAACTTACCGACTGCTGCCGCCTCTTGGCTCAGTGTGGGGGGCAAACTGGTTGGAGGATTCAGTGCCGCAGAATCTCGGGGCTCAGAGTAAGGAAACAGGGTGGCAGGGGAGGTTGGCAACAGAGAACAAGGTGACACAGTCCTATCATGTTTCTCCGGTAAATCAAGAGACATCTTGGAGCCAGTACTACTTGGAGACAATGACCGGAAATAAGTGTCTTCTGCTAAAGACAGGTAAGAATGCGCAGAGAAAGCCCTGGGGTCGCGCTGCCGGGCGTCAGAGGCGTGAGACCCTTGGCGCTCCAAGTCGCACCACAGTGAATAGTTCAGTTCTGAAGCAACAGGCATCGTCCTGCCAGCCTCCGCAAGGCCAGAGCTGTTCGGCTGAGGTTCCAAATAAGACAAATTTTCCTTGACGCCCGGTTCCTTGGCATCTCTCTGTTGGATCAGTTCGAAGGGAGTTGATTTGGTCCGCGTTATGGGCTCCTTAGAATTGAAATATCTTTGTGCTGCATTTGCAGGTTTCCAATTAGAACATGCTCCAAATAAAATGGAGCTCAAGTCCGAACTTGGGTGCTTCTGAAGAGGCTCCCCAGCTACGGTGGACGCCTTCATCTCCCATTTCACAGTGGGGTCAGCGTTTTCATGACAACCACAGTTGAGCTCCAAAAACTCAAAAGAACTGTTCTGGGTAGCAGGCTGCAAAGCTAACTCTTTCTTTTCTCTTATTTCAGAAGTCCTAAGGTCAAGGGAAGAAGCTTCTGCATTTTCCCCCCTTATGCGTTGGTTCGTCACTTCTGCTTCTGGTGTACCGCTGAAACAAAAAGAAAGTAACAATGGTATCATACCCCCAACAGGCCTCCTCCTAACTTTTCCCAGCATCACAGTGAGTTGTAAGCATGAGATATGCCTCTGAGACACATGTAGACATGTAAAATTATATTCACCTTGTCGGTAAGTTAAGAGAATAAATGTCTGCTTCTAGACTGGGATTTTGCTCAGGAACGGAATACATTGCTTGAACCTTCAAGAGAAATAAGAGATTGTTTTTTAGTGAAGTAACGACAGTGACATAGTTTATGCTCATAAGGCTGAGAAGTTATTTTCCAGAAAGGATAAAGATTCAAAATAATTCATAAAAGGGTTAGATGAGTTTCCAAAATACTGAACCCAACAAGAACATGTTCACATATGGAGATTGAAAGGGTCAGAATAAAGGATCAGTACCTCACAGAAATTAGAAGGGGTTTACTTATAGCATCATCTTGTCAAATGTGGGAGTTTTACAATGTTCTTGGGGGGGGTAACTGTATTCTTAAGGACACTCTACCTTCAGAGATTTCATTGTCTTGACCCTTCATGTTAGTAGGTGCTTAGTAGGTCCCATACATACCTCATCTTGTTCTACCTTTTTCTTCCTTATTATGCTCCAGCTACCCTGGTTTGGGTTTTTTGTTGTGGTTGGTTTGATTTTTGTCTGTTTGTTTTGCCATTCCTTAGGCATACCAAACTTCTTTCCAATTCAAGGCTTTTGCCCTCTGGTTGAAATACTGTGGCTCCAGATTTTGCATGGCTGCCTCCTTTTAAGTAATTATTTATTACTTACATGTCAGCTACAGAAGGAACCCTTCCCTGGCCCCTCACCCCGAACACCACACTCCAACTCACTCGGGCAGCCACTCGCAGCCTGTATTTCCTTCATAGTAATGATGCCATTATGACATTTGTAACAGAGGTGCATGGAATAGGAGGTACCACTGATTGTAAAATATATCTTTTTTTTAAAATATTTTATTTATTTATTTTTTCGAGAGAGGGGAAGGGAAGGAGAAAGAGTGGGAGAGAAATATCAATGTATGGTTGCCTCTCATGTGTTCCCTGCTGGGAACTGGCCTGCAACCCAGGCATGTGCCCTGACTGGGAATCGAACCGCGATACTCTGGTTCGCAGGCCCACGCTCAATTCACTGAGCTACACCAGCCAGGGCTGATTGTAAAATATATCTTGATTTCAGAGATGTTTACATGTAAAAAAAAAGTCATCAGCAATTGTAAGGTATCACCTGTTACGGGTTTAGTTGTGACTCTCAAAAAGATATGTTAAACTCTAACCCCTGATATCTTCACCTGACCTTACTTAAAAGTAGGGTCTTTGCAGATGTACTTAGTTAGGATAAGGCCATGCTGGGCCTTAACACAAGGACGTGTGTCCTTATAAGAAGAGAAAACAGACCCTCGGAGACACACAGGGGGAGTGTTGTGTAATGTGTGATGACAGAGTCGGAAACTGGAGTAATGCATCTGCAAGCTAATGAGTGCCAGGGATTGCTGGCGAACTGAAGCTAGGAAGAAGCAAGGAGCATTATTTTTCCCCCAGAGCTATGACAGAGAGCGTGGTCCTGCTTACACCTTTATTTTGGACCTCCTGCCTCCAGAACTGAAAAAATAAATTTGTTGCGTGAGCTCTCCACGGTCTGTGGTACTTGTTACCGCAGGCCTAATAAACTGATTCAGAGAATTTACTACCCCACTTTCAATAGTGGACAGAACATTGAGACAGACAGAAGACCAATAAGGAACTAGAGCGCAGCTATGAGCAACACCATAAACCAATTAGTCCTATAACACACATAGAGAACACTCCACCCAACAACATATGCCTTCCTCTCAAACACATACGGAACATTCTCCAGGATGGACCCCATATTAAGCCATAAAACAAGTCTTAATAAATCTTAACAGACTGAAGTTATACAAAGTATCTCTTTAAATCCTAATCCATTATTAGAAGCTAGGAATCAATAACAGAAAAAAAACATAAAAATTCACAAATATATGTAAAACAAACACTCTTAAACAACTAATGGGTCAAAGAAGAAATCACAATGAAAATTAGAAAATATTTAGAAATGAATGAAAACACAACATAACGAAATGGATGGGATACAGTGAAAGAAATGCTCAGAAAGAAATTTATATCTAGAAATGCCCACCTCAAAAAAGAAAAAAATCTTCAAATGAGTAACTTACAAGTTAAGGAACTAGAAAAAAAGAAAACTAAACTGAAAGTTAGCAGAAAGAGGCAAATATTAAAGACTAGAGCAGAGATAAATAAAATAGAGGTTAAGAAAACAGTGGAGAAAATTAACTAAGCCAAAAGTGGATCCATTAAAAAGATCAATACAATTGACAGATCTTTAGCTAGATTTACTAAGAAAAAAAGAAGACTCAAAGTTTTAAAATCTCAAATTTTAAATAGGAAAGAAGTAGGACATTACTACCAATTTTACAGAAATAAAGAGTATATGACAATATGAACAATTATATACGAACAAATCATATAAGCTAGAGGAAATGGACAAATTCCTAGAAACATGTGATCAACCAAAACTGACTCAGAAAGAAACAGAAAATCAGAACAAACCTACAACTAGTACAAACAGACTGAATTAATAATCAAAAGATGTCCCAACAAAGAAAAGCCCAGGACCAGATGGCTTCATTTGTGAATCCTACCAACGGTTTAAGGAAGAATACCCATCCTCCACAAACTCTTCCAAAAAATTGAATAGGTGGATCACTTCCTAAGTCCATCTATGAGGCCAGAATTACCCTGATACCAAAGCCAGACAAAGACACTACACAAAAAAGAAAACTACAGACTAGCATCCTTTATGAATAATGATGCCAAAGTCCTTAACCAAATACATGCAAACTAAATTCAGTAGCATATTAAGAGAATTATATGCCACAACAAAGTGGGGTTTGTTCCCATAATGCAAGAATGGGTCAACAACAAAAAAAAGTCATTGTAATACCACCTTCATAGAATGAAGGGGGAGGAAACCTACATAATCATATCAACTAATGCAAAAAAAGAAGCATTTAACAAAATTCATAATAAAAACACTCAGAAAGTCCTGGCCATCCTGTACTCCAAAAGGTTGTGGGTTCAATTCTGGTCAGGGCACAAGTACGGGAAGCAGCCAACTGATATTTCTCTCTCTCTCTCCCCCTCTCCCTCTCTCCCTCCTTCCTTCCCTCCTTTCCTCTCTTTCTAAGAATCAATAAACATATTCTCAGGTCAGAAGTAAAAAAAAAAAAAACACTCAGCAAACTAGGAACATAAGGGAACTTCCTCCATATAATAAAGGCCACACAGGAAAAGTCCACAGCGAACATCATATGCAATGTTGAAAGACTGAAAGCTTTTCCCCTAAGATCTAGAATAAGGCAAGGATGCTGACTTTTGCCAGTTCTCACCAAAATAGTACTAGAAGTTCTAGCCAGAGCAATTAGGCAAGAAAAAAAAATGATAAAAAGCATCCAAATTGGAAAAGAGGAAGTAAAGTTGTTATGTGCAGATGGCATGATCTTATATGTCAAAGATACCACATACAACAAAAAGCTAGAGCTGATAAACAAATGCAGCAAAACTGACAAATACAAATCAACACACAAAAACCAGTTGCATTGCTGTATATTAGCAAAAACAACCTGAAAAGAAAATTAAAAAAACAACTTTATTTATATTAGCAACAAAAAAGTACTTAGGAATAAATTTAACCAAGAGAGACTTGTATGTTTAAAATGATAAAACACTGCCGACAATCCAGAGCCAGAACAATCTGGAAAAAGAAGAGTAGAGGTGGAGGACTTGCACGGCCTTATTTCACAGTGGACTATGAAGCTACGGTAATAAGACACTGTGGTACAGGCAGAGGACCAATGGAATAAATAGCCTGGCAAGGAACTTCTGTATGTGGGCATTTGACTTTTGATGAGGGTGCTAAGACCATTCAATGGAGAAAAGACAGTATTTTCAACAAATGATGCTGTGAAAGCTGGATATTCACATGAAAAGGAATGAAGTTGGACCTTTACCTTACACCGTATACAAACATTAACCCAAAATGAATCAAATACCTAAACATAAGAGTTAAAACTATAAAATTCTTTTCTTAGGAGAAAGAAAACATAGAAAGCTTCATGACATTGGGTTTGGCAATAATTCCTTGGATGTAACACCAAAGGAATTAGCAACAAAAAGAAAAATAAATAAATTGGACTTTACAAAAATAAAAAACTTCCATGAATTAAAGGACACAATCAACAGAACAGAAGGCCAGTCTGTAGAATGGAAGACAATGTTTGCAAATCACATCTCTGATAAAGGATTAAAATTCAGAGTATAAAGAAAACTCTTAACACTCAACAACAAGCAAACGAAAAGAAACAATTCAAAAATGGGCAAAGGATTTGAAGAAACACTTTTCCAAAAATGACACACAAATGGTCAGTGAGCACATGGAAAGATGCTAAACATCAATAATCAGCAAAATGCAAACAAGAACCACATGAAGTTACCACTTTATACCCATTAGGATGGCCACCATACAAAATGTATAAACAAAAATAAAAACAGAAAATAACAAGTGTTGGTGAGGATGTGGAGAGAGTGAAATCTTGTGTGCATTGCTGGTAGAATGTAAGGTGGTTCAGCCACCGTGAAAAACAGTATGGCATTACCTCAAAAAATTAAATGTAATTACCATATGATCCAGCAATTCCACTTCTGGGTACATACCCAAAAGAACTGAAAGCAGGGACACAAGGAGGTATTTACACACTCCTGTTCTTAACAGCATTATTTACAATAGCCAAAAGTTGAAAGCAAAGCAAGCGCCCATCAATGGATAAGTGGAGAGACACGATGTGGCATATATGTACAGTGGAATATTATTCAGTCGTGCAAAAGAAGGAAATTCTTACAAATGTTACAATACAGATGAACCTTGAGAACATTATGCTAACAGAAATAAGCCAAATACAAAAAAACAAATATCATGATTCCAGTGATATGAGGTCAAATTCACAGAAACAGAAGTAGAATGGTGGTTGCCCAGGGCTGGGGGGAGGGCTGGAATGGACACCTGTTGTTCAGTGGGTAGGGAGTTTCAGCTTTGCAAGATGAAAAGAGCTCTGGAGCTGGATGGTGGTGATGGCCGCACAAGAACAGGAACAT